CAATCCCCCCCCTCCCCTCGCAGAAACTCCCCCCTCCCACTACCACCTCTTCCCCCCTCCCACTACCACCATCACTTGCACCGACAAACAGCTGATTAGCTGTTTGTCGGCTCAGCGCGGCAGCCATGTAAATGTAAATGAAGCCGCGATCATTTAAATCGCGGCTTCATTTGCCTTTGCTGATCTGTCTAATCTACATGCCTCTGCCGACAGAGGCATGTAGTCTAGACACAGCCTTCCTGAGATGAGATTGTTACCATTAAACTTAGACAAGTCCTAAAAAGCCTTCATCCTGTCCCTCCATCTTCTATGATGTTCTGGCGAAAGGGTTGGCTCTCCCATTTCAACACTGAAGCGAATGCACAGGCACTGTTAGTTGAGTTCCTAGAGCTAGGTACCGTTCATTCTCACAGTCCCCTATGGCAGCTTTACAGTGCAAATGCTAGTGGGGAAGGAGGGTCTTGTAGTTAAGGTACAACTCAGGAGATCTGGGTTCAGTTGCAGATTCTGATAGAGATTCCTCGGGCGAATCATTTCATTTCCCATGGTCTCGGTTGTCCATCTGCAAATTGGAGCTAATACATCTTTTGCCTTTCAAGCATAAGCTATTCAGAGCAGAGCCTGTCTTGCCCTCTGTGTATGTGCAGTACCCACGGCTGCGACTACATGGCACCCTAAACTTAAAATATTTTGAATCTATTCTGAAATAGCTTATTTTGAAATTTGGTGCATCTACACAGCACCAAATTTCAAATTAATGTTCTATTTCGAAGACACAGTCTGGACAGGGATTTCAGAATCACGTGCCTGCTATTTCAGGAAATAGTAGGAGCATTTAAAGACGTGGTGTTGCTATTTTGGGATACTTCTGGTTTCCTGAAATAGTAACGCAGTCTAGACATACCCTAACACATTTATTAGACCATGATCTTTTGTGGGTAAAACACACTTCATTAGATGGTTTGGAGTGGAAATTACAGAATGCAAGCTATGTATAACAAAAGAAGTCACCTGTGAATTGAAGGACCAGTGTTAATGCAGCTAATTAAGTCAGACTGGACGTGTCTCATTCGTAACATTGATGTGGAAAGGTGAATACCAAAGATGGGGAAATTGCCTTTGCAGTGCATTAACTAGTTAAGATCTTTCTTCCAGCTTTATTCAAGCTTAAAAGGATAGAGCTGAACTTGTAAATGAACTGCAGTTTAGATGTCTCCCTTTGTATTCGTGTGATAAAGGTCTTTTGTAGAAGAATCCATTATTGAATCTCTAGGGAAGTTAAAGTGTTCCCCCAGTGGTTCTCAGAGCGTGGTCTGTGGCCCACCTGTGGTCTATGACTGTCTTGCAGGTGTGCCGCGGGCTCGTAGCTCGACCCCTATCCCACAGTGGGAAGTCAGTGCTGGAGAACCAGCACTGACTTCCCCCTGAGCCTTGCCGGCTGGATCCAGCTCCTGAGGGCAGTAAGTGGCTCTGTCTGCTGCCACTGCCCCTCCCCCAGCTGGGAGAACAGCAGCCCCCACTGCTCCCATTGGCCGGAATCCTGGCCAATGGGAACAGCAGACGGCAGTGCCTTCATCCCCCTCCATTCTAGGGATGCAAAAGCTTATCGGATAGTCGACACACTAGTCGCTTCCCCTGCCTTGTTGCCTCTATCAGAAAGAGGCAACGAGGGGGTGGGAGGGGAGAGAAGGGCGTGCTGTGGGGAACCAGCTTAAAAGCCGGTTCCCCCCCAGCTCCAGCTCCGTGGGAGGGAGCAGCGGCGGTGTTCCACCTTGGAAATGTACAGGAGTCCCTGCTGAGGCTCTTGTGTATTTCAAAAGTGGAACGCCGGGCGGCACTTCTGCCTTTGAAATGTAGCAACAGCCGGGCGGGCTCTGGCTACATTTCAAAGCAGAAGCGCCCTTGTCGACTAATCAAAGCGTTGATGAATTCCATCAGCTATTCAATTAGTTGATTAAACTAATTTTAACATCCCTACTCCATTCCTAGACCCGCCTCCACCCCAGCCCGCTCCAGCACCCGTTTTGTCATCATGGCTGGTGGTCTGTGAAAAGATTTGTGTTGAGTGGGGTGGGCCATGGGCCAGAAAGTTTGAGAACCTACTGCCCTATAGGTTTCGGTGTGTTACCATTCCTGGTGTCTGATCTGTGTCCATTTATCCTTTGTCGCAGAGACTGTCCGGCTTGGCCAATATACATGGCAGAGGGGCATTGCTGGCACTTGATGGCATAGATCACATTGGTGGAGGTGCAGTTGTATGAGCCTCCGGGGTGGTGGCTGATATGGTTAGGTCCTGTGACGTGTTGCTTGTATAGAGGTGCGGACAGAGTTGGCAGCAGGGTTTGTTGCAGGGGTAGGTTCCTGGGTGAGTGTATCTGTGGTGTGATATGTGGCTGCTGGGAAGTATCTGCTTCAGGTTGCAGGGCTGTCTGTAGGCGAGGACTGGCCTGTCACCCAAGATCTGCAGGAGTGAGGGATCGTTTTCCAGGATAGGTTGTAGATTGTCGATGATGCACTGGAGGGGTTGAGCTGTGGGCTGTAGGTGATGATCAGTTGTGTTCAGCTGTTTTCCTCGTTGGGCCTGGCTTGAAGTAGGTGGGAACTTGCTTGGCTCTGTCAATCTGTTTCCTTACTTCACCAGGTGGGTATTTAAGTTTTAAGAATGCCTGATAGAGATCTTGTCAGTGTTTTTCTCTTCCCGGGACTGGAGCAAATCCGGATGTATCCTCTGGCTTCCATCCAGGACACATCACACAATCCATTGTCTACAGCCGAGCCCTAAGAGACAATCTAAGGCAGGCCTGGGCAAAATACAGCCTGCAGGCTGGATCTGGCCCACCAAGCCTTCAGATCTGGCCTGCGGATGCAGCAGGGAGCCCCAGGCAGGTTCTGCTGCTTGTCCCGCAGCCCGGCACATCGCTCAGAAAAGCGGCTGCGGGCCGTTTCTCTTTCAAAACTGTCATCCCAGAGGGGAAGGGAGAAGGCTTCAAGCACTGCTCCCGCCCCCAGCACAATCCTATTGGCCAGTTTCTGGCCAGAACCCAGCCAATAGGAGCTGCCTGTTTGAATAACAGGCAGCACACAAAGCACCACACCTCCCCTCCCCTCAGTTTTTCACACATGCACATGGCCCTGCAGCCTGTACAGGCTGGCTGGCTGGCCGGGAAATGTTTTAAGCTCTGCAAGCATTTAGCTCTGCAGGCAGGAAGGCTGGTTGGGCTGTTGCCTGGTAAGTCTCCTGGCCAGAGCCTGCCTCTGGCACCCCAATCCCTTCCTTCCCCAATGCTCTGCCCCCCACTCAACATAAGCAAACCCTCTGCCACCTTCTTGTACCCATATCCTCTCCCAGATCTGGCACCCTGCCCCAGATCACAATCCCCTCCTCCCCTAGGTCACAAACCAAACCCCTGCACCCCAGTCCCCTGCTCTAGGTCACAACTGCCTCCTTCACCCAAACTCCCTCCCGGACCCCACCCTCCCTCCTACACCCCAATTCCTTACCCCAAGCTCCCTTCTGCACCCAACCTCCATCCCAGATCCTGCACCTCCTCCTTTAATATCATGGAAGAGTGCAGCCCTCGACCACTTTCCAACGTGGCCCCCCTGTCAAAAATTGTTGCCCAGCCCTGATCTACACTGCCCCAGGACTGCTTGTTGATTTTAAAGTCACCGACTAACACGGCTACCGCTCTCGTTTGCCATGGGTTCTGGCTTTCTCTGTTACCTTGGGGAGCAGCAGCGCTCGTGGTTTGACTGAGTGTTCTGTGCTGCTGCAGCTGGCGCTGCTGAAGGAACTTACGGACCTTCTCCTGAGGGAGGGGTTTGAAGTGCTGATCCCGCGGCCGGCCAGCACCAGGAAAGGCAAGCCAGCCAAGAAAAAGGAGGGATCAACGCAAGCTACGGACTATGCTGTGAGTATTCGTCCTCGTGAGATTCCTCGGAATCAGAGACCCTGGAAAAGGGGAAGAAGCGCTGGGAGGAAGCTGAGGGACAGAGCTAGATAACTTGTTCAAGGCTCCAGAGCCAGGAATAGAGCTTGTTCTCATTGACATCAAGTCCTGGGGTGTCAGCATCAAGATCTACTTTCCCTTCCTCTAGAACATAACACGGCTCTGTATAATCCACATACATTGTCTTCACAAATATGCATGAACATAAATTAATTGGTACTTAATTCAGTTACTTCCTTTTGTTCTTTGGGGGACTTGAATGAGGGGAGGCTGACCCAGTGTGATCCTTGCTGAAATTCCTTAGCGATGGAATTCTACGTCTCCAGCTGTTTTTCTATGGGAGTCGAGGGTTCGGGGCATTGGAGAAGAGCCGTGCCCGATAACAAAACAGGGTATGTCTACACTAGCCACCCTAGTTCGAACTAGGGTGGCTAGTGTAGACATACCCTGTTTTGTTATCGGGCACGGCTCTTCTCCAATGCCCCGAACCCTCGACTCCCATAGAAAAACAGCTGGAGACGTAGAATTCCATCGCTAAGGAATTTCAGCAAGGATCACACTGGGTCAGCCTCCCCTCATTCAAGTCCCCCAAAGAACAAAAGGAAGTAACTGAATTAAGTACCAATTAATTTATGTTCATGCATATTTGTGAAGACAATGTATGTGGATTATACAGAGCCGTGTTATGTTCTAAAATAATAAAATTGTCATTTTAGAACATAACACGGCTCTGTATAATCCACATACATTGACTTCACAAATATACATGAACATAAATTAATAAAACTAATTCAGTCAGTCAGTCCTCACAAAAGCAGCATGAGGAAGCAACTCGGAGTTCCCAAAAGTTTAGCATGAGTTCTCCCGCTTCTCAGTTAGACTATGTCTACACTGCGGGGGTTGGCAGAAGATATGCAAATCGTGCTCATTTGCATATCTTCTGCCCATCCTTTTTGCAGAAGAGGTTTTGCTGCGAAAAAGCCCCATGTAGACGGGGCCATTTGTCAACAACAACAACAAAAAAACCCTTTCACAAGACCCTGTAAACCTCATTTTTTGAGGAATAAGGGACCTTGCGAGAAAGGGTTTTTTTCCGACAAATGGCCCCGTCTAACACAGGACATGGCAAAACCTCTTCCGCAAAAAGGATCAGCCGAAGATATGCAATTGAGAGCGCAATTTGCAGATCTTCTGCCGAAAAAAACAGCAGCGTAGACATAGAGTCTTTGACCGCCAAATCCATACAATCTGCTCAGTCAAACCCAACATCTTCCCTCCCCTTGCCTGTTGGAGTCTTCCGTTGGAATTTCTGGAGACTGTTCCTCTCCCTCTGCTGAAATCACTATTAGCCTATCAGCAAAGCTGCGTGACTAACCAATTTCTCAATTAAAAATATAGATTAAAAAAAAAAACCTGCTACAAGAAAAATACAAAACTCAGAAGAGCAAAATAAA